GTGTCCCACCGGCAGACCTCTGCCGCTTCCCGTCGCCAGGCCGCTTTAGGGCCCCCGCTGACACACCGGATTGCGCACCGTCTAGCCCAGATGCCGGTTGGGTCCGTCAAGCCGGGGCCCCAGAAGTGGTGCCTCGACCTTCCGAGCCCTCCGTCATCTACGCCTCTCTCCGCTTCCGAGCCCTTTTCCTTTCGGAACCTGGCCAATACTTCTTAATTTTTAGAGAGCCCACCCTTTCCGCTAGCTATCTCGCTAAGTTTCTGACAGATTCCTCTGTCAGGGTACGATCAGGGTCCCCTGGTGAGGGGCCGCTTGGATGTTCGGGGTCCCCTGGTGAGGGTCCACCCGGATGTTCGGGGTCCCCCGTAGGGGTGACCTCGGGGTTTTTATTATGTTCATCGTGTTCCATATTGTTCCCACGAGTATAGGGGAAATGGTGGTCGTCGTCCGCGGTGCCCCTACACGGACGCAAGACTGGATACTCTGGGAGGTCGCCCGGTGTCCCAGAGGCTCCGTTTAAGACGGTGCATCCCCACCGCCACGCACCCCTCGGCACGGAATCGCTTAACACCTTGGGTTGGGTAAAGTACCATTGCTCATGATGACCGTTGAGCTGCAGGCGTCCCAGATATACATCCGAGACACCTGTGGCTCATCGAATCATTCGATTGGCCGGGCTACCGGCTTTCCGGCGGGTCTCCTCAAAAACTGATCGAGGCGGCCCACCGCAAGACCGGCACCCCGTTGTCCCCCCTACACGGTCGCACACGGTTCAGCGCCCAAGGCCGCCCCGCAGAACGAACTCGAGGACGTACGGGTTGGATTTGGAGGTTAAAAATATATTGAAATATACTACTAAAATAATTCCATTGTTTGTTTACATCATTCTGAGGAATTTGAAGTAATTTTTGCCAGTTTACAGATATGAGGCTAGTTAAAAAAAATTCTCTATTTTCTGAACTGAATATCCTTTTCTGTATAACATTACCAAGATTGTACCTATGAACCTACTTTGCTATTTTTTGAGCAGTGTGATCTGAGATTAATGAATTAATGACATTAGATACATTTATTTATTTATTTAATAATAATAACATCCAACAAAGACCATATACAAAAAATTATAAATACACATAAATATATAACACAACAATATAATTCCTCTTCATCAAGGACATCCTGATGACAGAAAGATGCACCTAGATGGTTCAAACCACCTGTATGTGCTTTCATCATTCGGACTTACAAATGAAAAGAAAATGCTATTTATTGGATTAAAAAAAAAAACAATAATCAACCTCAATATCCAGAACAATAGTTCAATCATACTTTGATACAAAAAATCATTAGAAAAATCTTTCAAATTGTGCAGTATTCTAAAAAATATATTCTCTGCAGCTGGTGCTAAATGTTTTAATATTTTTCAACTTTTTCAAGTGTTCTGGCAGAATGTTATATATCTTTGGTCCTATATACGTTATGTATCTTAAGTTTAGGTTATTGTTATTCTTGGGAATTTCTATTTGCCTGCCCACATTTGCACGAATACAGTAGTTATGATTTACTTGTTTCTGTAGTTTTTCATTTCTATAAATAAAAGTAGATACTGTCATCACGTACAAGGATCTAATATTGCACACATCCTTTGTAAAAAGTTTATTAGTGAGGAATCTTTTATCTTTCTTAAAAATAATTTTAATAATATATTTCTGAATAATAATGAGTTTAAGTAGAGCATTATTATACAATCCCCCCCCATACTAATATCCCATATCTAATTATAGATTCAACAAATGCTTTATAAACTGTTATTAAATTTTTTTTTATCGAGAGAGTCACGCAGTAGATAAAATTTATGGATTAATTTTCTAACTCTACTCGATACATAATCAACATGCGGCTGCCACTTTAAATGTTGGTCGATAATGATTCCAAGGTATTTAGTTTGAGACACTTCCTGAACAGAATAATGATCATCCAACATAATAGTGCTGTAATTTGGTTTGGTTTTTATTGGTCAACGAAAACGCAATAAAGTTTGTCTTAGATAAATTCATTGTTAGTTTACTCTCTTGTAACCAGTCTTTTACCATACCTAGACCATACACTGTTTTACACTTTACATCCTCTCAACTAGAACCTGCAAAAAGAAGTACAGTATCATCAGCATAAGAAATAGTTAAACCCCTCGTTCAGCTTTAGCATCTTATTGATAGAAATGATAAAAAGGAACCCAAAACAGTACCCTGCGGGACACCAATCTTTATTATTTTTTCATTGCTTGTTATGTTATTTAGTTTTAGCAGTTGTGGTCTGTTTGAAAGATAATCCCTCAGTAAATCATAAGCCACTCCCCTTATACCATTGCTGTGAAGAATTTCGATTAGCTTATCATGAGGAACCGTGTCGAAAGCCTTGGCAAGGACAAAAAAAACAGCAATACTCTTGTTGCCATTATTCAGATTATTGACAATCTCATTTATTAATTTCTGCATAGCATCCACTGCACTGTAACCCTCCAGAAACCCGAATTGATTATCTGATAATACATTATTAGCTTTAAAAAAATCCATTAATCGAGTTTTAAGACATTTTTCAAATAAGTGCAAAATTTGTTGTTAAACTTATAGGCCTATAATTTCCAGTGGATGTAGTATACCCTGATTTATGTATCGGGATAACTATTGACGTTTTAAACTCTTTTGGGACAATTCCAGTTACCAAAATTAAATTGTAAATATGTAACAAAGGTGTTAAAATTTCAAAATGAGTTTGCTTTATAGTTTCAACCTGTATGCCATCTTAGCCAGGAGGACTATTACTTTTCAAAGATGCGATATGTTTTATTAGTTCATTCCTTGTAATGGGACTTAAGAAAATAGAATTCTTGACGGGGTGCGCTAATTTACACTCGGATTGAGGAGTGGGAATTGTCTGCGCCATGTTAACACCACATAAGTTGAGGTATTGATGAAAATATTGTCAATACAAGATCCACTAGTGGATGTTATGCGTGTGTATTGGAATATAGAAAAATTGTCACGTGCCAAAACCTCGTAACCTTTCTTTTTACTATTTTGACCACTGAGTAATTTAAATTTCTCTTTATTGATTATAGACCTAGACCAAACCCTTTTTAATGATTTTATTTTGTCAAATTTCATAGTTTATTGATTGTAGAATTTTTCACGTATTATATCTGTCATTCTCATCGACTCAATATCGTATTGAAATCTTTTGGACACAAATGTTATAGTATTATTAACGACTATCTTACAAATGTTCTGATAAAATATTGTTTTTCCCTCGTAGATAGATTTGATTCTGCCTAAGGTCTGCCCATCGGCAACCAGCGCGCTATCTTATGATGTTTATACGTACTAGCCATATATGAATTTACCTTCCTATCAAGATATCTTCTTTACCGGCTTTTATCTGTTGCTTTTGATGTTCTGTCGAACGTGCCTTCTTCAGGGCCACTTATTCAACCTTCTTTTAGGGAGTTGCGTGCGCAGACGGTCCAGCGCCATTTTCTTTCCGCCCATGATTTTGGTTTTGTGCGGGCGTTTTTTTTTTTTTTTTCGTTAACTTCCAGATTTTGGGATATTAACGCCCCAAGCTCCAGTTTATGGAGTAGTACCCTTTTATTTTGTACCTTACGTTTAGTTGTGTTGGTTTGGGTACTACCACCCATCCATTTTTTTATGGGATTAACCTCCAGTGGTAAGTTCTCTTTTGAATACCATCGGACTACGTCCTTTAATGCTTGTCCTGAAGAAGTTTGTTCAATATCTGATTCCTTCTAGTGGAAAGCCATTTTTGAGAACCCCTATTCACACTCCTCCAGCTTTGTTTTGTAGCTGCCTTGTAGCTGTTTCGCAGCCGATTTTGTTGGAAGCCATCTCTTTATAAAAACCCTGATGTGAACAGGTAAAATATCATTTTAATTGGGTATTTTATAGATATTAATATATTGATTGTTGCTAACTGAAATTCTTGATTTTGTTCGGCATTTTACGTATTCAAATATATATATAGGGTAGTGCCTACATGACACCGTCTTTTGGGCTTATTACATTAAGCATGCTTTTGAATTTTGAGCTGCCATAACTTATTTTAGAACACGGGATAACTTTCTGATGGTATATCACTTTGGTATATTTTTATATTTTCTTGCCCTTGCAGAAAGAAAGGTAGTTTTCTTGTAAAAGAAAATGTACATGGATTTTTCTTCAAGTTTTGAGTCTTTTAAATGAGTAGTTTTATCTCACACATAGAGTAGAGAGTAGATTTTTAAACAGTCTTTTTCTCTCTAAGGTTTTTTTTATACCATAAATTTTGAGAACGAGGCAAGCAGCCCTTAGTGCACTTGTGACGTTGCTTACTTCACTGCTCACTACTGGCTACTGATTTTTGGCCTGAGTTTTTGAGAGCTGAGAGCATCACAGCTACGCCTAGAGCTGTAACTGGAGAAGACCATTGTCCAGATAAGGTTAGGTTTGCCCGTTGAAATATTTGTAAGACCTATATTTGTAAAGCCTTCGCACGTGTACCATGGTAAACGTTTTGCAGGGTTAGTTATTACAGTCTATTAAGTTTATTGTCAGGTAGTTTTTAATAACATCTTTTCTTTTAACTTGCATTCCAATGGTGGAGCATATGTGCTGCTTGTTTTGGCAATATATTGTGATTCTTTTCTTTTTTTAGATATCTTGTTTTATTTGGCTCTCTGTATACAGTTAATTAAGTTTCATCATTAGTATTAGATTTTTTTCTTTGTGTGGTAGTCAAGCAAAACAAGTTCCGACTAAAAACTCGGGGATTTGTGGCTTAATCCGTCTTGAGTCACTGGCGCTCTTAACACCCCCCCCCCTACTCTCCGCTTTATTGAGCTAGGGCCTAAATTTGCACGCCACTTGACAGCTCTTTTGCTTTGACTGATCCTTAGATTTCATTTATAGTAATTTATTAATATATTTGAACAAAAGGAAAGAGGAATCACACCATTTCTTCATATTTATAAAAAAAGGCGTGGCAAAATCTATATTGAACTCACCAGCTATGAAAATTGTGGCACTGTCATCGCGGATTTTCAGTAGAATTCGTTCCATTTTTTCTAAAAACACATGCATATCACCAGACGGTGGTCTATATATTGACAACATTATGACAACTCCCACCCTCATATAAACTGCACTCCCACCATGCTTCCCTTGTTTTCAAAAACACGATGCTAACTTGAAGTTCCTAATTCCATAGTTGATAATTTGGTATTGACTCTTCCAGTGTTCAGTGATGCAAATGAATTTACAGTCACTATTATTTGCTATCATCTAGTTTACCTCATTTATTGAGTTTTCACGCGACAGGACGTTTTGATGGAATAGAGCTATTCTGTTGTATTCCTCCATTTGCTTGAGAGAGCCATAGGTGTCAGACTCATCAGTATCAATTTGTTCCCTGTTTATGTTTGAAAATCCTGTCTGTAATTGATCTTATTTCTAAACCTCCTAATTCTCGATGTGTAGACTGGACATTTTGGGTCGCGGGCAGAGTGATTAAGGTCACTATATTTCATTTTTCGGCAATTTACACATTAAAGATCATGTTCCTGACAGCTGGTGGCTTCATGGTTACCTAAACATTTGTAGCAACATGTCTGCTGTTTGCAGTACTTAGCAATGTGTCCAAAATTTGAGCATTTAAAACAGATTGCCAAATTAATGTGTTCTTTAACATAGACTCTTACCAAATCGAAGTCTATCTGACCACGTTTTAAGAACCACTTAGCAATTTCGGGCGGTGCTTGTAAAATCCAGTTTTCTTTATGTGGTTTAAGGCCGTTCTTCTTTGTAACGACCTTGATTTTATCTGTGACACTATAGTTTAATTCAGCTTCAATTTCATTATTCATCCTTATGAGCTCATCTATGAATTCTTTTGACTCATATCCTTTTTCAATTCCTGTGACCATGAACATAGGATCGATTCCATCTGATGTTTTGATTGTTATGTCTTTCTTATCTTTCAATATATTTTTCAGTTTCTTTTGTTGGCTTTCAGTGTGGCTTTTTACTATTACTGCCCCTGATTGTAATTACCTAATATTTTTAAAGCCCCCTTCAGTATCCTTTTGCGTCTTGTTTAAGTCTACGTAGGACCACCTTACGATTTTCTGTTTCTTCCACTCTTATGATTGACTCATGTTTCCGATTTTCTGGTGGAGTCGTCCATGGTCCTTCCACTTTGCTTATTGGTTATTTGGTTGTACTTACTGTCTTTCCACCTACAATACTGGTATAACTTCTTGGTTGTACTATTTGAGTTCTACTAGTCTCTTGATTTCCTTGCACGTTCGATAGGCTTCCACTAGCTTCCGTGTGTGTATACTTTGGCTGGGTGTTTTCTATTCTAGCTGCTAACATTACATTCTCTTTTTCTAGCTGACTGACTTTGTACACAACTTATGTCAGTAATTTTTGTATATTCATAGTGGCTTGTACGATGCATGTTTCATCCTGTCTGTTGAAAGGAGTTAGCATCATGTCTCTATCGATGCGCCTGCTTATGGTATCAATTTCATCAAAAAAGTTTTTAATTAATTCTTCCATCATACAGTTTTTCACTTCATGACAGCCTTTTACTAACATTTTCTGCCACTGGACTAGATTGCGATCTGGGTCTTTTACCTTTTTCAATGTTAGGGTGATATTCTGTAAGAACGTTCACGTGGCTTCTATGGTATTCTTGGCTTACTTTAGGTGAAGTACGAGAAATTGAGGATTTTGGTTTGAATATTGCGTCAACATAATACGTTGTATCATTTTTGTTATCTTATTTTGTGTTATCACCTGTTAGATTTCTTTCATGCAGGCTTACAATTTCGTCAGTACCACACCTTTTTGCACTAACTTTTATCTCTGTTGCTTTTATTGGGAACCTGGTCACTGCCAAGGATTATTTGATTTATCTCTTCTTTTTGTAAGGTAAGTGTGCCCCTCTTTTTCAGTTCTTCTTTTAAATTTGGATCCATTCTTTAGGTTGGATGAAGTTGTGTACAATTGTACATTCTTTTCAACACACTAACACCACTTTGCAATAGATTATTTACACTAGGAACTACAAAAAACGACCAAAAAACGAGAGCGACTAAAAACACGTCAAACCGTAACGAGCGAACGTGCGAGTACCACTCTAGATATATAGATGTACAGTAACAAAACATACAAAATCTGCACAAAATTCAATGGCGTCATCTAAATTGTATTTTTCCACATAATCTATAATACAGTTCTTTTCACAGTTTTTGGCAGGTCAGAGACATACTTTTTTATTGTTTTATTATATTTTCGAAAATTTTGTCTCAACTCATGAATTTTCTGCCATTATGCACTGTCAGTGTGAAAACTCTCTTGTCATCATTGTGTAATTTGAGTTGACCTCTGATTGACCTACCATATAAAGTGTAGTAATGCCTGGATTTACAATTAGTGAGCAATCTTGACGGTTTGTGGTAGAATTGGAGTATTAACAAAAAATGAATGAAAAGAACAGCTTGTTGTACCCACTACATGAAGATCAGTTTGTGCAGTATTCTAGGAAAAATAAGGTATATCCATGACATGGTTAGTAGTAGATCTATTTACTTACTTTGAATGACATTGATGATGTAACTGCCAAAAAAGATGAAAAAATCTAAACTAAACGATTTGATACTGCTTAGTTTTTTGAAAGATCAGTCCAACAACTTAGTACTCGAACAGTTCAAATATATCCAAGGTTTAAAAAGATTTGATAAAGTTTAATCAGGGTTTTTGACATTCAACAGAATAATTCATAAGATACTTTGAGCTTCAATAATTCTACCTCATAGATCTGCTATACCTATGCTATTATTTACAATAAAAGAACATTCGAATATGTACCATTTTCCCTGACAGGCTTTAGACTTAGATGCTACCAAGATCAACAAGAATAGGCAAAAATGGATATAGATAAATCTGATATAAATGTTGAAACATTTATGAATAATTGAAGCCCAATTCCATGTTCATAAATTATTAGTAATCTATTCTTCTAGGATAAAAAAGCTGTGAAACGTGTGAATGTCATGCTAAAAAGAACAAAATCTGCTAATCAGTCAGTAATTGATGATGCTGTGGATGAGGACAATACTGCTGTCACCCTTGCTGGGCCAATGCAACCAGATGAAGATGATTATGGGTAAGATTCCAGGTTTATATGATTTTATATTTTATCATATATTATCTGTTTTGACTTAATATAAAATATAGCAGATAAAAACAACAATCTTATGTATATGCTTACACCTGGCTTATGTAAAATGGGAAAGTGAGGTTAGCTTTACTTATTTTCGATGCTCTGCTCAGTGGGGCCAAACCATTCACAGATTTATTTCAAATGACATCTCAAAGTTAATTTGCTTGTAGGTATGTATCACATGAGGCATCCGCCTTCTACAACAAGATGATGGAAAAATACAGCAAACTGCCAAACAAGCAAACATTTGATATGACAAAGAAGAAGGTGAACATGAATTTGAGTAGCACCAAGGATAGGGTAAAAGCTGCCTTGGAGAGAGAAAAAGAAGAAGCGATGATGCCTCACAAGCGAAAACGGAAACATAAATGCAAGAAGGATGATGATGATGATGAAGAGGGAGTCAGTTATGATGCTCCAGAAAGAGGTACCAAGGATGATGATGTTGAAGCTGCACCTCCTCCTAAGCCTAAGCCTAGGCCGCCAGCTCCTCCACCAATGAAATTTGAAGGTAAGATTAAATCAAACGTTTTCCTTCCTGCGGCACGGGTATTATGTAAAAAAACCTATAAAACGTCAAAAAAACCTATAAAATGTCATCTTGAAGACTAGGTAGTTTTTAGGGTGCAAACGGTCATTCCACGTTTGCTCACCAGGATGTTTGTGAGCGTCCATCTATGGAGGAATGGCTCAACTACACGTCATGTTTTGTGAAGCCGAGTGTAGTCTATAGTTTTCATCTCTGAGAAGAAAGTTGGTTGAATAGCAAGATCGCATCTGGATGATTGTGTGTATTGGTCTGCATGTGTATAAAACCATTAATTTGCTGTGTGAGAAAACCATTATTGAATATGCTGCCAATGAAGTATGTCTATTAGCTGTGCCCGACGAGTTATTTATATGTTATCCTTTCTGAAATCAGGTTATGTTCAAAGTTATAAATTACGGTTTTTTAGGTTTTTTTGTGTTTTCAAAAACTTTGAGGAGAATTACGGGAAATCACGACCGCGCCCGCGTTGTGTATAATTACTGTTAGAATGCATATGACTTGTAATTCGGCATCTTATCTCTCTCATTTTTGAAATTCAGCTAATTTGCATATGTAATTTCCAGAATGGATAAGAAAAAGTGGATGCGCAACTAATTTCTAGCTTTGCATCTGAAGTAAGTGTATTTGAGACAAGAATACAATGGAATTATCATCAACACATATTATTAGCACACAAATCCTCACTATGTACCTATGCATTGCCGTTTCCTTCGAGCTTAGACCTCCAGTAATGCCATCTCTGAATCAGATTTTACATCACATCGGAGCCAAACATTGATAACTGGAGCCTCATGACGTTTAGGCAACACGTACAACTACATAACGAGTTCGCAACGTGTCCATTAGCTAATGCTAAGTTAACATCTTGTAGAAAAACCTACGTAATATCAAAAAATCGACTTAACGTCACTTTTCAAGATACTTATTACCCGTGCGGGTTCGAATCCAGGCCTGGGGAATGACATTTTTCATTACATTATCAGCATTCAATATTCCCAGTCCAAACTAAACTATGGACGTAGAAACTGGGCTACCTGGACCACTATGAGTAATATTTTCTATGCCATTGGCCTTTTCAAAGAAAATATGTGCATTTTAGAAAATACTACTCAATTTTCCGTAAATTTTCTCTCTTGAGGAATTTTTGTCAGATCATGTTTAGTTTTGAATATTTGAGATTTCAAATGTTTTAAACCTACTGAAAATGTTTTATCATAATCACGAAAAACAAATGTTTGTTTTCTGTTCATAAGCCCGCCGCAACTAGACCGCTTCCCAAAACCTACTACACTTTGTTCTTAGCGTGGTATTGGTCTCGCGACAGATGTAACGGTCAGACGCCATAAAAATTTTAGCAGTATTTTACCAATCAGATTGACGGAAATCAGTGATGAGGTTTTTCTTGATATACATATGATATTCAAAAAACATAAATATCTCGATTTTAAAATTTTTCGCGATTACAACACTTCCGCGGTTGAAATCAAAAGTCGCTTAGTGAAGAGGCATAAATGTAACTAATACTTTTTCAGATCTTCTGAAAATAGCTGAAAAGAAACAACATGAACCGATAATAATAGAGAAGAAAGAAAAGGAAGCAGAAAAACTGCTGACAAAGAAGCAAAAGAGGGAAATGGAAAAGGAGCAGGAATTTTTGAGGCGGAAACAGGAAAGAGAAGCGGAAAGATTGCGTTATGGCACGGAAAAACCGAATAGAATTGCAAAATCAAGTGATCGAAACAATACCAGCGATGGTGACAGGCCACCACAAACAAAAATTCCGAAAATTGCTGAAGATAGAATTCCAAAAGCTACAGCTACAAGTAAATCAAAGTCCACAGCTTTTGGAGATGCGTATAAAAGTCAATCTGATAGCTTTAAGAAGCCATACAATTCTAAACTACCACCAAGTCCATCGACACAAAAAACCGTCACATCAAACACACAGAAAGACCTACAAAAATACGTTCCAAGTTCAAAACCAATTGAGGCATCCAGATCAACATCTGGGTTGAAGAACCTTACATGTGATGCCAAACAAAAAAAGCCCATGACAGAGGTAAGTGATGTGGATTAAATGGTACATCATTTCGCGAAAAAAAAGCCAAGCCTAAAATTTAAAAATATGTAACAACAAAAATATTTAAATCTTTTCACATTATTGAAACGTATGAACGAGTTTTTGATTGGAATAATGGCGTAAAGTAGATTGACTTTATATATACCATGATATCCATACCCTCCAGGATAAAAATCACCTAAATGATGTATTGAGAGAATGTTGTTTGTTATTCTTCTAACGTGTGGATATAATTGTCTACAATATTGATATGTCAGATTTCCAAATTTCATAAAATCTAAATGTAAAAACCTAAAATATATCACAAACTTAAACATCTCAAGCTACAATAAATACATTTATCATATTTCTGTTTCTATGTGTCTATTATGTCAGAATAGCTGCCTAGTATTACTGGGATCAGAAGCTTCTTTATAATAGAATGCGTTTCAGTGATACCAAAGATGCAGAATTTGTAGACCCCAATCTTTAAGCCCATACATACCTGAAAGCAGGAGTCTCTGAAACATTGAAAAAAGGTTTTTTCGTTATTATTTTTTTTGTCGGTAACTCCGTCACCATTCGATCAATTTACAAAACTCACAAATCTTGGGTCAAAAGCTCAATAAAACCCTTGTGCTTTCGTCGAGTTGTAGAAGGGTCAAGGATTAGCGGACAGGCGACAGGTGAATTTTCGTGATGTACATGTCGTGTAGCATTTAAAAACACATTTTAGAAATCTATCACACACATCATTTTAGAAACGTATCGCCAATTGGAGTGGGAAGTGAAATGAAAATGCTTTATTGATGTTTATTTGCTAAAATGGGGAGGTATGATTTATATAAATCTCACGATAGACATTTAATTTCTTTTTAGCCCAATAAGTATGGGTCAGAGAACACTAAAGCTGCTCGAAAATATTTGCCAGGTGACATTCGAGCCAAGGGACCAGAAGATATTAGAAAACTATCCGAGGAAGAACCAAAACGAAAATATCTACCTGGTGACATACGAGCAAAAGGCCCAGAAGACCTAAGAAAGCTCTCTGAAGAAGATGGTAGACCTGCCAAGAAGTACCTACCGGGAGATATAAGAGCTAAGGGTCCAGAAGCTATTAGAAGGTTATCTGACAATAGAAAATTGGACGTAAGGAAATCTGAGGTTAAAGGTGTAAATAGGAGGCCAGATGATGTTAAATCTAGTAAGAGTCCAGAAGAAATGTGGTCAATGAAGAGGCCAGAAGAAATGAAGGCTGCTAAGAGACCGGGAGAAGTAAGACCTACCAAGAGGCTAGAAGAAGTGAAATCGAGACCTTTCCCATCTAATGATTTGAAGCCAAAACACTTTCCTCCGCCAGATCTTAGAAGGTTTGCACCACCAAAAAAGAAACCTGTAATGGCAAATAAAAGTAAGTCTAGCATTTTCATACAAATGATGAAAGATTCTCCATATCATAATTATTTTCGTATCATAGGAATTAGAATAATAAATGTTTTATTATTATATATTCCTTTTGCCGAACATCTGTGATATTTAAGGAAACCCTTTTAATTCGTTTTATTTTTTTATGGGAAAATAATGTTCATCTTTATGAATTTGACCACTTTCTTGGCATACAGACCTGGGCATTTTGTCTTTTAATAAATGACTTTGCTCATTGGGTTGGCAATCTGTGACTCACTGTGTGGTCAAAGTAAGCACAAAAGAAAATGGAATTCGCACTTTTTTGGCAAAAAAATAGATGAAAGAAATTTTTTGTATCTGTTACAAAGACAACAATTGGGATCTGATTTTAATGGCTGTTCATTGACGTGAATGTCCAACGCGTTCAGGAAGTATTAGTATTGTCATTTTAACGTCCTTGCCCGATTATTGGCGATAATGTTCAAGAAGAGATAAGGAACGTCAAAAAAACAAAACAAATATTAAAACCAAATCCTGGTGTTGACATCAAAGTTTTTGCTGTTTTAATATCATATACATTGCTATATTTCTCAATGCTTAAAAACGATTTATTATCATTGCGTTTAATTTCTACAATGTGTTACAATAACATCAATGTTTTCCTTAAATCGACTACCGAATATTAAACTTCGTTTTAAATTAAGGTGCTTCATAAAGTTTTATAAAGTCATTATAATCTCATTAATACATATCTATTTTCTGATGATGGTATGGACTTTAATATGCTAGTATGATGAACAACTGAAGTTCAACTTCCGAACATGGGTTAAAGAATTCTCGATATACCCTTTGCCTTAGATTTTGCCAATCTCATTTCCATATTTGTTCGAAACATATCAATGCTAAATGACTATATGTTTGTATTCATGATCAATTTAGCAACATCTGCGCATTACGGTAGAATGACAGCTGAGTATCTATAGTGTATTTACACCCAAGATAGAATGGATGCGTGATTGCCAAAAGCAAGGAACGGCGTACAGGGCCGCATTCAGGGCTACCTCCGAATGATGGACTACCACCAACGTGTTGTAAAACAAAGATGACAGTATTTAACGAAATTATCTAATATAGTGAAGTAGTTATAGTTAAGGGTGTCGCAAAATCAAATTTTTATTCTTGAAGGGGTGCTAAGTTTTTCTACAGATTTTTCAAACTAGACAACATGGAGAAATACATACCAGAGGTAACCAGCTGCTCACTATGCACAATGAATCCGTAGTCAACGAGGGGTAGAGATGACATTTTTGTACATGGAATAAATATAAGGCTGTTCAATCAATTGAAAATAGATTTTGAAGGTGCACTCGGACTTGCATTGTCTGTAGTTTATCTGTAAGTTAATATTTCACTATAACTAGGATTCCCATAATATGTATTCCGTGACAAAACAAAAACGCGAAACTTACTCAGACTCACTTGAAGAGCTATCGTCATTAATGTTTATGATGATGGATTCAAAATCTCTCTCAATTAGGTTGTCCAGCTCCCACATTGCTACCTCCACTTTCTCCTGAACATGCTGCATACATTTTTGCCATCTTTCTGGTGCGACCCTCTGTATAGCAATTCTGACAAGCTCTTGCATTTCAGAAAATTTAAATGCTGTATTGTGTGCAGCAACAAAATTCTCAACATCTGCCCATACGAGCTCAATGGGGTTGAGCTCACAGTGCTAAGGCGGCAAACGGAGTACTATTTTGTGGTGTGCTCTGGCCATTTGATCTATGACATATTTATCATGTCTTGGTCTGTGATGTTTCACAATATCTAATAGTTGTAATTTCAGTAAGGAAGGGTCGAAAGTTATATTTTTGGAATGGAGCCAGCCCTGAATGTCTGATTTCCTTGAAGCTGAAGTTGGGATTTTTTCTATTTTGCGAGAATGATAGGGAGCATTATCCAAAACAACCACAGAATTGTCTTCGAGACGTGGTAAAATGCCTGAAAACCACTTCTCGAATGCTTCTCCATTCATCTCAGTGGTTTTTTTTGACTCAAAAGACCATAAGCCGTCATCCACGAAGCCATCTACAAACCCAATGTGGCAAATAATGAGCCTTTTTCCTTTGCCTAGAAAGATAAAATCCGCTAAGTACACATGCACGTCTTGTAGGTACGAAGAGGGAGAGATATTGTGCGCAAAAATTGATACCGTGAACTACTTCGATCTATTTACCTGCTGGATTTTTCAATCCGGTCGACAGTCCATCTAGAAATGCCCTTCTGGATGAAGTCACAGTTTTGTCAACCCATACCTTCGGAGTAGTGTGCCCAGCGTTAATCCAGGTTTCGTAAAGGTAATAGATATTCGTGTGCTGATACCTGAATGATTTAATTTTGGTCAGGTACTCTCTCCTCCACAGAACAATTTCCTCTCTATCCGTAAGTAAGCTGTTACGACCTCGTTTCTTCCATTCGAAATTAAGATGCTTCAAAAGTTTATGAATAGTAGAACGTTTGAAATTTGGTAACATAGCATCCTCGTTAACCTCCCGTAGTACTTTATCAACTGTCGGTATTTCGTTTCTGAAGATCTCGTGCACTTTCCTCCGAATCACACGCGACCGTCGGTGGCCTGAATGCAACTCTGCCTGCCCTGCCCCTGCCCCGCGCATTATTCCGCCAGGCAACCGCTTGAAATTTAATGGCGAATTGGCCAATAAGAGGCGTTGTCCCCACCTATTACCGAGAGATCACGCGCTAACTGTTATTATTTACATCTCATCTTGAATTTGGATTCAGTTTAGTAATATTTCAAAATTCTCCATATCGACAAAGGACACATAATCCTGACGGATCCGTCAATGCCAGGTAGACAGAGTCATATTTTGTTTTGGTACGCTACATATTCATTTTGTACTTGCTAAACGCTCTTTTATTTAGAATAGTTCATTTGCAAACAAAAAACTAAACGCTACAAATAAATTTTACCAGATTTTCACGTGATTCATTATTACCAACGTTGCAGACTAACACAAACACATGTGACGTTGGCATTTGTTGTTGGAATGTATTCGAATGCGCTCGTCTACAGATCATCTACACCTAAATTTAGTTTCGAGTTGGACCGCGTTGGTTTAAGTTCGGTGCTACAGACAAACGACTAAATACTATAAGCGCAACATATCCTGTCCAGACCAACTCAAACCTCCCTTTGATATGCAGGGTTGTTGTTTTAAACGGGTGTTTTAAATACTATTTAAAACAATGAAGGTGTTTTAAACCAATTTGTTTTAAACACTGTTTTTTTGTCGTTTGTCAATTAATCAAGTTTTTTTTAAGTATGATTAAAATTGATTTTATTTTGCAAAACTAAACTAAAAGGGCCATAGGTTAAAACACATAGGTACTGAAAAATATACTTTATTCTTTATTAATTAATCAAACATGAAACTAGGGAACTAATACTAGTGGAACGAGTCGACTTAATAAACTGCATTGAACTCTAATACTACTACAAGCAGCAGAATAATCATATAATATGACTATGTATTTACTTGTATACGAGTAATAACATTAAATAAGTTACTTAACAAATTTCTATAAAAATATACAACCCATCTTATGTAACAAAAATCCTTAAATCCATATGTTTAAAATATAAAATCATGAAAAATGTACATAGAATAAAATTTCAGTTTTTACGGAACTCCAAGTAAAAAAATGTAAAAATCTACTTTTTCACGCTTTGATTTGGGTGTTAAAATACTGTGACTAATTTTGTCGCTTTTTCTGTGACCAACTTATTACGAAGTCTGGTGTGGAAATGATGAAAAAATACGCTCAAGCCCAGCAGATGAAGCAGCTGCTGTATGAAGCTGCTGAACTAGGTCAACTGTAACTTCATTTAAGTTATCTTTCAAGAACTTCCACCAAACAAGTGGTGTGAGGCCTTTCAAATTGTCTTGAAATAAATAATCCTTAAATGGTGATGTTTTTGCCTGATAACTTACAATAAAAGGCATCGCTTCAAGATGATAACGAGAGGCATACTCAACACCTTCTTCGCGTTGCTCTAGATTCAATTTAAGTCCTTGGAATCAATGATCTAGTATATTTGCCAGATAGTGTGCTGAATATATAGCCATATGAAACCCTTTTTATAAAATGATCTCTATCTGAATCAGTACAATTTTCATTTTCTTTAAAAAAGGCAAATAGGTCTATCAAAATTTCTGTGCATTCGCTAATTGTACAGTCATCTCGTTGAATCTTATCTATGGCAATTGCTATTTGTTTTAACTTTACTAAATAATCCTGGGCATTTATTTTTAAATCTAAATCATTATTTTTATCCGTGATATGAATATCAATAGCAGCTCGGTTTTCTAAACAAATTTTCGATAATGTAGATAAGATTCAATGGAATGAGCTAAAGTGTTCCATCTAACATCTTGTGGCATCACGAGAGCTTTTCCGTCAGATATTTTAGATTTGCCTGCTGCTAAATGTACATTTATAAAGTACTTTATTATGTTCTTTATGTGAAGTGAGCACCTGAATATCTTGTACAAATAAATTTAAAATGTGTGCAGAACACCCATAAGTAAGTATATCAGCTAGACCTGCTCCCATTTTGCTAGTTCTGCACGCATCTTAGTCATATTTGCAGCATTATATGTCACAGCACTTCTGACAATACACTTATAATCTGTGTAACAACACCTTGTAGACTCCACTAATAAATTTAACAAGTGTTAAGAAGTATGAATTTTGTCTTCAGTGTCAGAAGTGTCAATTAGATATACTTTACCTTCCTGAATATCAGTTACGGACACACACACTATTGAATCGTTTCCTATTTGCTGACGATTAAGTGGCTGATATCCTGGACGCAACATTTCCATTAGCCGCTTAAACTCGGGGTGTTCACTGCTCTAAATGCACAGTTTGTGGCATAAACAAAACGTGCTACTTGGTTATCAATTTTTTTCTTCTCCC